GACTCACAAGCCGGTGTATAAGAAGCCCCCAGCCGCATTACACGTTTCTCAAAAGGCCGAGCCAGCCGTTAGCCTGCCAACAAGAGCATGAATAATGGCTACGTTGGTACTCCAGATATTTTCCACATGCAGTTAGAAGACAATAACCGTGGATGTGCTCCGCCCCAGAGAACAACAACACAACCCCCACTTCCCCGTCTCCCCTAAGCCTTTATTCACGCCTGGACTTCATTATGAAGTGCAACGGAAATCATCACTGGCAATCTGAAAGAATTTACAAGACAATGACTCAGTTCAGGTCATACCTCGGCTACACAAAGAACAGCTCAATAAGCTCAGCATGAAAAGATGCATCCTTGCTGATAACATACAGGCAAAATGTAGGCTACTAAACATTTTAGGCCACAGTGGTTTTATACACATTTTGCCTACACATACATTTAAAAATAATTTTTTTTTATTATTTTATTAGAAGTATTTCTTCTTACACTGTGCAAACCTTTACCTTAAAAAGCAAAGGGTCACAGTCACCATTTACCATTTTTCGGACAAGCTTAGAGCAGCATTTCCCTTTACAAACTAAATCTGCATTACAGACATGCATGATTAACACTATATGCAAGACAGCTCTGCACAGTATCTTTGTTTACGCCTCATCTACAACTGCATTTAAGTAGCAGGGGGACCGGCCAGGATGTTGGGATGGCCCACAGACACACACCATAGGCAACACTGTCCTCCTTTCTATCATTTCAAAAGACTTGGCTTCATATTTATGCAGCTGCAAATTTACAAAGAAAACCTCTTCTTTAACCGGACATAAAGATAGTCATTTATCGACACAAGAGGTTTGTGAGTTCTGTTTTTGTGACATTTTTAGCTATGAACAAAGGAAACCTACAATATTTACCTTAAATATTTTAACTTCTCCAAAAATTAATTCATCTAAATATTGGATTTTACTGCAGTTTAAGATTTAGGCTAATAATACAATAACATTATTAAAAAAAAATTAATATTTATCAAGAACATCTCTTTACATTGAAAATCAATTTACACCAAATTTTCCAAATAAAATGTCACATAAAAATAAATCCAATAAATAAATGTGCCTTGTGATTTTAAAGACTTAGACATATAAAAGCACTTAGATGAGAGAAGAACCAAGCACTGCATTGCTGGCCCCACCAGAAAAAGCTAAAGATGACATGAAGCCCAAATAAAAGGCCTCGCCTGGCTACAACACGGGTAGTATGATAATAACACTGCTCTGTGATGTTCATAGGAAATATTAGGATTCTAAAAGTATTTCCTCAACTAGTAACACAGTTATGAGCCTGTGGAAAAACAAAAGGAAATGAAGTCTGGTTTTCTTTCTGTCCACTCCTTTTGATAACTTAGGAATGTGTGGTCTTCTCTGTTTAGATCCTGTTTTAGGATTATTATGGACCCTTCACTGGCTGCAAAGGTTACTATCGAGATGCTGAAATATAATTTTAAAACGTCAGTTTCTTGTTAGATTCCTAATAGTTTGTCTGTCTGTCTGACATTTCACAGTTGTCCGTTTATTTTTCAGGTTAAACACCAGCTAAATTAACTCAACCTCAACACTAGATTACATACAGTTATAAAACGCAGGCCTGCGTTTCATCAATATCTAGTTTGACTCGGTTTCGAAAAACTATTCTGAGACAATAGAAGTGCAGCTGATTACAGTCAGATCTGACTAAGACCAGGTTAAGTAGGAAACAATTCCCTGACTTAGATTAAACCACATCCACCTGTGCAGTGAAGAAGAAGCTGCCGTGGCCTGTGACCGCTTCCCCGGTGGTTTCAGCCAACGAACAGAAACCCTCTCCAGAGAAGGGGGCACTGATTTGGCGGCGTCCCTCTTCATCACCACAGCCCATCTTACCTTTTTGTGTCTGTCTTTGAAAGGTAACGCCGGCCACGGCATCTCCTGCAAAAAGTCTTGCCAGTGTTTCTGGTCCTGATCAGACGAGATGAAGACGATTTCCAGTTTGTCCTTGTGTTCAGACGTCTTTTTGAACCTGCTGTAAAACTCGCACAGGCTGCCGGTGAACTGCTTGCACGGGGCGTTCAGGCTGCATCCGAAGAAGAGCCCGACCAGGGAGAGCCTGGCGCCCAGCGACTGCACGTCCACCTCGGCTTTCTCGCTGTTGACGAGCCGCTCCCCGAGAAGACTCAGCAGAAACTCCGACATGGCAGCGTACAGTCCTCGAACACACAGCGTTACCCTCGGCCGAGACTGCTGTACATGTAAGCGCTATGCTCAGGCGACACCCAGCACTTCCTCCGCCTCCAGCGTGAGGTTTTAGGTGAGCTCTGATCCCCTGTGTGTCACCGCCGCTCGTCCTGTCCTTTACTGCGATGCAAAACTTCTACAGTGTGACATATTTATTAGCTACATGTGCAAAACCATTGAGCAGGAATAATAAAAACCCGGCACCACTAACATAAAGTAAAACATTAACACTGTCCCACCCAGCTACATCAAGCAGCAGATGCTTCAGTCTAGACTTTAAGCACAGACGGGACAGAAACCGATTCATTGGATGTCTGCAGTCAGCTGCTAGCTAGCGTTAGCTCCCGACAGGAGCAGGCTGAATAAAGTAGAATGCGTTTGCTTGACTTCCACGGCCTCACATCTCGTAGCCAGAGATTATATTTGTTCAGATTTGTTTGATGACAAACAGAAGTGATGCAGCACTTTAACTCTGTCACATTATGTCACATAAGCATTTGCTTCCTCCTCTTCCCTCCAGGCATTTGGTTTTATCAACCTGGTCCTGTGGACAGGAAACCTCTGGTTTGTCTTTAAGGAGACGGGCATCATCGCTCCCTTCATGCGGGCTCCTCCTCCTCAAGGGAAACCTGCTGCACCAGATGCCTACGGCCAGCAGGGGGCGTATGAACAAGACCCTTATGCCAGTAACCAGGGAAGCTACCAACCCGACTACAGCCAGCAAGGATACAACCAGGTGATCAGCCAAACTGCTGCCCACTACTAGTTAATAAGATTGCACCAGTGAACTTCATGCAGCCCTGGAGTGTTCCAGCAGAGGGACTGTGATTGAGACATGGCGCTGTCTGAACACACGCTGCTGTAACAGTACATCAACATTTATTTGTTAAAGGACATTTTGTCACATTAATCTGAATCTGCAAATAACCAAAGTTCCAAAAAACCCTGTAGAGCAGCAACAATACATCATCTGCTTTTGTGCATAAAATGGCAAATATGAGGAATGAAGTTTAAGTACCTTAAACCTACGTATGTAAAGTAGACTCGGTGTACCATGATGCATTCACTCAGGGTATCGCAGTTGTTTCTGACATGTTTACTGCTGTGTGTTCTCCAGGATGCAGAGTACGGTCAAGGCTACGGCCAGCAGGGGGCACCCACCTCCTTCTCCAATCAGATGTAAACTGACAGGAAGCAGGTGAATCCATTACATCTGACTGACTTTAAGTCACCTTGAATGATAAATCATCATCAAATTTCATGCACGACTAACACTGAATATCTCCTAACTGATGCATCTCCTTCCTTTGAGCCCCCCCCCCACACACACACATACACACACAGCCTTGTCAGCAGAGATTTGTGTTGGAAATCATCGTTGCCGTTTCTGGTTAAAATGACAACCAGTGGGGACATACCAGTTGTCACTAACCAGCGTCAACTCCGTGGCTGACAGGACAAAATGAAGGTTGCTGTTGTCGAGTTTGCGACCTCGCTGCAGCCGGTGGACAAACAGGCATTGCCCATCTCGACCCATCAATGATCACACTGTCGCACTGGCTCCTTCCTTCACCATGAACACACACACTGTCCTTTATTCTGACCCAGCCCCAAATACATAGTCCCCAACACATGCACTGCTTCCTCCTGTTTGTTATGGAACATTAAAAAAAAGAAACTACATATTTGTGAGGTGTGTTCATAGATTTACGTCTTCAGTAGGAATGTGTGAACATCAAAACATGAGAGACACATCAAGTTTATTTGTATTACGCCAAATCACAACAAAAGTCATCAGAGGACACAAACTAAGATCTAGACCAGGGTGGCCAATTCCAGTCCTTGAGAGCCGCTGTCCTGCTTGTTTTCCAACTATCCCTGCCTGACCTGCTGCTGATTACCTGGCTCAGGTGTGTTCAGCCAGTCAGAAGCTGGACGATACCAATTCACTTTATCTTTCCTCACTCCACTTTCATCTAAGATGGTATCTTCCAGCTTCTGACTGGCTGAACACGCCTGAGCCAGGTAATCAGCAGCAGGTCAGGCAGGGATAATTGGAAAACAAGCAGAACAGCGGCCCTCGAGGACTGGAATTGGCCGCCCCTGAATTCTAGACATAATTATTATCATCATTGAGGGAAAACCCAACAAATCCCCCTTGAGCAGCACTTGGCGACAGTGGGGAGGAAAAACTCCCTTTAACGGAAGAAACCTCTGACAGACCCCGGCTCTTGGTGAGCGGCCTTCTGCCTCGACCGGTTGGGGTGAGTGGATAGAGGAGAGAGAGAAAAAAAGAAAAGCAACAAGAGCTGGTCCCATTCTGAATCCAGTTTCAGGTAATATCGCCGGCAGAGATGTAACACCGCTGATAACATCCTATGGATTGATACAAAAGTTCTGCCTTTGGTTAGTGGAGGAAACCAGTGAGGCCTGTTTAACCAGTCCAGAACACTCAACTGTTTATTTTTCACATCATCACTCAGATGGAAAATGTCCTGCCTTTTGTCCTGCTTGTCTCCATTGATCACAGTGAAGGACATGCTAACCCTAATCTAGCACAACATTCTCATCGTCATCTTTCAAACAAAGAAGCGTTTGTCAGATGTTTCTCACTGACAAAGTGATTCTCTGCCGTTATTTGTTTGTGTTTCCTTCACAGAAGGTGTCGGAGTGAACCAACAGTGGGTCGCCCGCAACCTACCCACAATGCAACGCTCCTGTCTGTCTGCAAAGTTAGCGGGTGGGGTAGAAGGGAGGGACGTTTAGATGTTCACTATAATGAATCAATGTGTAAATGATCAAAAAATAGCTATAAATAACAAATCCACCAATTAACAAGCACCGGGATGACGACGACAACAACAACAAAACCAGTGACGATGTTATTCCTATTATAGTAAATAACCTGTGGAGAGAATGTCTGTGTTGTATAGATATATTATATAGACTGAACTGTTTTTGATGTTTCCTACTGAACCAATGTTCTACCCCGCCCCCGTCACCCCCACCCCCACACCAATAAACCAGATTGTTTGGCCAATCATGAAGCTGTTCAAACTGGGTTCACACTGAGATAACCCAGATCCAAATCACATTTAAACCAGATCTGAAACAAATCAGAAACTGGATCCAAACCAACACCTGCATCCAATGATGTCACCTCCCGGCTGTTTGTCTTGCTGCATGTAAATATCAACATAGGAAGTGATGTCATCCTGGAGGCACAGTAAACCCAGTCTGAACTTCACCTTCATGGTGCCGCACATGGAGACTGGATCCAAAATGGCTCTTGGTTACTGCAGTTAGCATGATGTTTGTTTGATTCATGGGTCAAATCAAACAACAAAGAGGTGTCCAATCACCTTAAAACCTAAATCATTTCTGGTGTGTCAGCTTTCAGATGACCGTTTTTGTCAGTGTAGTGTTTTTTTTATTGGTCCTCTCCTCGACTTTCAGCCAATCAGCAGCATAAGTGAGTTGTTTTTGTAAAAAATCTTTAAAAAAAGAGGGGGGCACAATGCTTCTTCTTCTTTGGCTGTTTTCATTTTGGAAAGTGAAGTTGTTTCAGCGTCGGTGACTTCCTCCGCATGGTGACGTGTTTTCTGCTCGTGTTGTACAGTAACTGATGATCAGTGTGATTCTACTTCCTGTTCTCCTGTACAGGTGTGTGTGTTACCTGTCCATACTTCTAAGTTTCCATCACTCCATTTTATTTTCTTGAGTTTTTTCTACCTCCTTCTCTTTCTGCTCATTTTATTTCTCCTGTCTTCTCCTTTCTCCCCTCTTTTCTTTTTCATCCTCGTTCTTTATTCTCCTCCTTTTCCTGTGTCCTCCATCTTCCCCTTGTTCTCTTCCTTCTCCTATTTTGTTTCTTTTTCTCTTCCTCCTCCTCTTCCACTCTGCCCTTCTTTATTGTGACTCTCCTCTCTGCCTCTGTGATGTAACTTCCTGTTTGATGATGTTCTACTCAGCATCAGTAACCATGGCAACAGTGTTGACAGTGATGATGATGACTTGTTACTATGGAGACGCTCCCTCCACCCATCCCCCTCCCTGCTGTGTTTATTCAGTGGAAATTTTCAATAAACGACAAAATCATCTCTGATTCTGTGTCTGATTCTGACGAGGAGGATTAAAAAATGAGTGAAGAGCAAACAAAGTAATTTTACATGAACAAAAGGAAGAAGAACCAAATACATGAGGACTAGATGAGTGAATTCATAGGGCTGTATAAAAATATAGATTTTTTTTTTTTAAAGTTAATCCTGATTGCACTGGAATGATTGAATATTGATCACGCACTGTTTTCTGTGGTGCAGCTTCTTCTCTCCACTCTTTGGCCTCCTCCATCCATCTCACTGTGCCTCCCTCTCTCCTCCTGTCCTTATCTCCTCTCTCCTACCCACCCCCCTCTTATCATATCCCCCTTCTGACTTCTCTCCCCATCTCTCCTTACTCATCTGTTTTTCTGCCTCCATCCTCCTCCTCTCCTCATTCTACTCCGTTTCTCCTCTCCCTTTTTCAAAGCTCCTCCCTTTCTTCTTCTTTCTTTCTACCGCATCCTCCCCTCTTTTCTTCTCTAGACCTTCCATACTTTCTGATCTCATCACTCCTCCCTTCCTGTTTTCTCCTTCCTCTCCCAATCCCTTCATCCATTCCTATTGACATAGCCCCTCCCCTTCCTATTTTCACCTCCTCCTCTCCTTTCTTCTACTGTCCTCCTATCTCCTAGCTCCTCCTCCTCCTTTCTCATGTATTCCCTACCTCTCTCTCCTCCCTGTCCTCCATCAGACGCAGCCTGCCTCAGTGTGTGTTCGGCCAAGAGCATGGCGTCCTTCGGCCTCCTGCTGCTCAGCTCTGCTCTGATCCACACCGCCCAGGTAAGGACGAGTTGCGTGCGTGCATGTTGTCAACATGTGTCGATTTATTGTCACGGTAACCTGATACAATGCTGCTTATTTTCTACCTGCCTATTGGCACGGTTACACCGCGGTACGTGTGTGTTCATCTGCGTTTGTGCGTGATCTGCTTTCCATTAGACACATTGGGTACTGATTCTTCAGCTATTTCTAGGTATTGACAAGGAGACTTGGAATACTCTGGGAACAGAATTCTCAGGTTGTGGGGACATAAATCTGTTTAAACATTCATAGTGTGGAGATTTGACGCCCTTAAGGGACAAAAAGTCCTCATAAGGTGTATATATATCTTCAATACGTGGTTTAAGGAAAATAAATGAAGTCAAATTAATGTGCTCTGAAGTTATGAAAACAGGACTGGGTGTGTGCGCACACATCTTTCTATGGTTGTTTGGGCGGACACCTTTTAGTTCAATACAATCACTGTGAGGACATTTGGTCCAAACAGGAGTGTGAGGGTTCAGATTTGGTTTTAGGGTTCCAGTTAGAACCAAGCTTAGGAGATGCATTATGTCAGTGAAGGTCCTCACAAAGATAGAGACGTGTGTGTGTGTGTGTGTGGGCAGCTGCTTCAACCAGGGAAAATGCACTTTAGCTGCTGTCACCATGGTGATAGAAGATGGTAACCCATGACGACAGGGTTGTATATTACACAGGTCTCCTGACAGCAGCTGTGTCAGTACGTTACTGTTTTCCTATGTCTGTAAGGACATACTGTCTGGTCCTCACTTTGTCAGAGTTACAGGAAGTCCTCCAAGGTCTGGTTTTGGGAAGCATCTGACCACAGCATGTCAGGTATCAGGTGTGTTCAAGCTGAGAATGAGACCTCGGTACAGGTTTGTTCTGATGAAGAACTGAAGAGTACTTTAGGAAACTCGGTGGCAACAGAAATTGCATCTCTCAGATATGAAACAGGTTTGAACATTCTGTGGCCCAGTTGCTGCAGGATATGGAGACAGGACTTCATATTATTTATATACATTTGTCTTTGAAGCCTATCACATTATTTTAGTTTCTAAGGCTACATTTATTTTGAGAACGTTATTATTATTATTACTTTGCTGCTCTTTTCTATTGTGGCTGCTTGTTAACTGATCTGATTAAATGGCCGATCATCAGATACAGTTTGGTCGGGGCTGGTTGTGTCAGACAACGTACAACATTTCGCAACTTTGGCTTCGTCTGTCAGAGATAAACAAATTAACATTTCCCAGAGTGCAGCATCATGGTTTCTACCTGGTAAGGAAAAACCTGAACCCTGCTGCGTCTCAGGCTGAGTGATGTTCCTCAGAGGACTCATTACGACCTCTTGCTGCTGTTGCGCACGTCTAATCCTCAGATAACCCTCCTCCTGTAATGAAGCACCATACATCTGCACTGATGCAGTCTGAGATATTAGAGTCGTAAATCACAGT